AATCAAAAAGCCTTACATGATCAGGGATTGATGGGAGTGGGAATGACAAATGTACATTTCAGACTTTCATCAATAATGAAAAAATAAAGCATTTTTATAGACTTAAAACTTGTCATTAGTGCATTTAAATTTTGAAGAAAGAATCAAAATGTAAAATACCTCTACAATTATACCATGTTAATAGAAATTGGCCACACACTGAGGCCATTTTTAGTAAGCTACCTTGTTTAAATATAAGAAAAGTAACTTCTTGGTCCAAATTAGTGAAAACTTAAAAAAGATTGTCTTTAGAGAACATTATTTGAGGACAATGCTTTTTCAGACAGATTCTGATATTCAAAATCACTATAACATAATTATGGATTAACCTTTAAATCGAATCTTAAAAACCTGTCAGATTTCCATTTCTCCGTGAGATATTCTCACCAGTGTGTTGTTCAATTCCACAGGTTAAGCTTTCTTCATTATTATTAAGAACTTCATACATAGTAGGGAGATTGCCATTCATTGCTTTATCATCTTTTCGAAAAGACACAGGCAGACTTGCTAGACTAAAGCTGACATCTTTAAAGGCATGCAACAAGAATATCCCCACAATGATTGTGAAGAAGCCACTCAGAGTCCCAATGATATCATCAGCAGGCATATCTTGCCACTCCTTAAAAAGAATAGCTGAACAAGTTAAAACTGAGGTTGTAAAGAAAACGTAATATATTGGTGTTACAAGGGAAGTGTTGAATATGTCCAGGGCCCGGTTTAGGTAATTGATCTGTGTGCTCACACAGATGACGAGGCTCAGCAGCAGAATCCAGGCCAGGGGATGCCGCAGCACAGGCTTTCCAGCTAACAGTTCTTTGATGGTGATGCCCAAGCCCTTTGCACAGGACACTGAAAACGCTCCAATCACAGAGCAGATTGTTATGTACACAAGAATATTTGTCTGTCCGTGGCGAGGTCCCACCACAAAGATTAATATCAAGGACACAATGACCACAATTGTTGCAAATACCACAAAACCTGGAGGAGGCAAAGAAAAGATACTTGGTCAAGAATTTAGTCAAACACTATCCTTAAACATTTAGACACTCCAAACAAAACAATGCAGTAAGAAGGTATAACACAAAAATAAAATTCAACTTTATTTTGTTGCTCTAGCAAAAGAATACCCACAAAGATTTCATTACATGTACACATTGGAAGGTTTAAGTATGCTTTATGTTCTCAAATTTTAACACCAATAATATTTTCAAGTAGTTTCTTATGCCTACTTAAGTGCTCTAACTCACACAAAAAAGTAGGACAAGGGTGATCAGTACAGGGACAGAAACTAGTAGAGAAATCACAAGGTGCCCTTGAATGTTCAACAATGTACAGATGCCAAAAATGGGAGATATGAATCAAGTTTTCCCTAAAAAAGAGTAATTTTTTTCTAATATTTAGGAACAAGTGCAAGGATAAACAGCATGCCCTTAAGAGAATTTGAAAAATATGGTAGGGTTCCTGGCAGAATTTGGAGAACTAAAGCTAGCATGAAAATAGCTAAAAACCGTTTAGTACTGTGGCCAGGTGTTGCTCCTGGCAATTTGTACTTAACGGTTATCTGCATTTTAAGATAAGGAAAGGCACTCTGCGTTCCTCAAACTCCACTAATAAAAGATTTTTAAAGAAACAAATACAGAAATAATGGCAACAATATTTTAACAAAGCAGAGGACAACTCATAATATAATTGACCTAAGATAGGTGAATCATATATCAGTAATCAGATGTGAAAATGACTCAGAAACACTGAACACTCACAAAGTCAAGTCCCCATGAAGGAATGAAGACAACTTTGAACTAGAGGTCTGGCTGGAAGTCCATTCAAGAAGCAATGTGACTTCTGGTCCCTGCCAAGTTCTGCATGTCTGAGTGACTCTTTGTCCCTTCCATCCACTATATGCAATAGAGGACTCCTAACCAGTTCCAGCTGAGCATGTGAACATCATGCTAAGGTAAGAGTTGCATCTGGGTGTTAACCTCTGTTCAACATAGGGGCACTTCTTTACTGGAGATCTGACCAGCCTGAATTTTAAATAAAAGAAGGCAGTCAAAGACCAAGAGGCCATAACAATAGAAAAAAGCAAAGCCTTTATTTCTTCCACTAGATGGAGGAAAACTTCAAAATAAATAACTCTTCATTAAAAAAAGGGGGGCGGGGCTGGGCCTGTAGTTCAGTGTGAGGCCCTGGGTTTGATCCTCAGCATCACATAAAGATAAGTAAATAAAAAAGTATTGTGTCCATCTACAACTACAAAAATTTTTTTTTAAAAAAAGATGAACTATTCTTAATATCCTGAGAGGCAATACTGAAATATCAGACTAACCTTGTACTCTAAAGCAACTTCAAATGATGGATAAATCATGAAACCAAAACAACAACAACAACAAAACCAAAATAAACAATACTTGAGAACAATCGAAGCAGCCATAACTTAAGGTACCAAAATTCCAAAGGGGGGGGGGCGGGGAACTGCTCAACACTCACCAATGCTTTTTTCCCTGGGGAACTGCCCACTCAGCAAAGGAAACTTAAGGAAGTTTCAGTGAACTAGATAGACACACTTTGGAATTTGGAGTTGGCTAAGCAGCTAGGATTTAATAGGCCAAGCTCCAGAAAAGAGGAAACTACCAAGTAGTGATCCCAAATTTCTGTGTGCTATTCCCTTAACAGCATTTGTGGGCACATAAGCTACACAGCCAAGATCAGAGAAGCAAAAAAAAAAAAAAAAAAAA